AACCAGTATAAACCCGTCTCGAAGCACTTCACAACCGCAAACCACAGTATCGACGACGTAACAGTCGCCGGTATCTGTACAACCGTCGCTAACATAAATACACGTCTCAGGACTGAAGAAGCATTCATCCAATACATGAACACGCAGACGCCCTGGGGATTAAATCTCAGGGTCTAACCACATGGCAAATACCAAAATTACGCCGAGGAATAGACCAACAGACCCCATCACAATATTCTGCACAAAATGCAGCAAAAAATTCAAGACATTACAATCGATGCGAAGACACTATAACATTTATCACGGAGCCACTATAACGGAATACCGCTGCCGATGGTGCCAATCAAAATTTCTAAGAAAGGACATAGCTGTACGGCATCTCAAATTAAAACATGAAATGGAATATGCAGACGATTTAATCGTACAACAGAAAACCCCACGCGAAATGGCAGAAAAAGTTAAAAAATGGACACCACCACCAGAAGCCCGCACCAGGACCCCCAAATTCAACTTAATCGTTGGGGATGAAGCCACAAGAAGAATGACAGAAAAACACCAGAAGAAGACCACCCACCCTTCCAGCTTTTTAGTACACGACCTCTACCTATCATCAGACGATGATGAACCAGATACCCCCTTCACCGCACCGCCAACGAAGGAGAAGGATTTAGAAGAAACATCCGCCCTGTTAAAGAAATACTCAGATTACGTCGGACTGGAAAAATACCGTGATTTATCATCAAAACCATACAATGTGAACTACAGTTTTACTACAGGATACCATAGTACAAACAATATAAACCTCATTCACAGTGACTACGGAACATACCAGTCAAGATAAACATTTGTTTTTATTTCTATTTTTAACTTTTATTCTTGCTACATTATGAACACTATTTTTACATTTTCACTTTCACTTTTATTCATGTACGTCATAATTAATACAACCGCATTATATACACTTTATGAACATGTAAACTCTGTAATATTGTCCTGATGACGCCGCATTAGCGGCGAAACATGTCGACTCAATAAAACTATCACCTTGCGGTAACCCAGATGTTGTTGTCTCTACATATTATATTTCCATGAGGTTTTAAGACAACCGCAGCATACTTCGGTATCCATCTTGGTTACTCTACCAGCTTTTCCGTTAGAAGGTGTTGGTTCACTCGTCACAAAATATTTTATTTTAAGTTTAAATAAAATTAAGCCTGAGTTTAAACTGTTTATGCATTATGAATGCCACTTATTTACGAGTTAAATTTTTAAAGTGCTAGTTCACAAGGTAACATTCTGTATGTAACAATGTTTTAGATTTTAACGAGAGAAATTTATGTATTACTGAAAAATTATTACACCAGGGTTTTCGATATCACAAACTAGTCAAAACATTTACTAAATTTTATCATCGGTATAAGGACATCATTCGTAAATATAGCTCAACATGCAGACTTCTTATACGTTCAGGTATTTCACATCCAATTTTTTATGGAAATATTCTTTATAAAGCACAAAAATGTCAGTTTTCACCTCTGAAGCTAACAACACCTTTAAATAGACTTATTAAGAAGGGATATAGTTACGATACTGTTGTCAGGTCATTAAAGATTGCATATTTTGGCGTTAATATTGATTCACTTATAGGGTCTTTGCATCGTCACTAAACACATTTATTTAAAAACCAGTTGTTGGCATGACACGGGTTATGTTCTTCTCATATATGTTATGATGGTATGATACTAAACCCCTTACAGGAAGGATTGTGCCTGATATTCATATGATGAAGACATAATCTTTCAATCAGTTTAATTGAAGTCTGGAGCTGGCATGTCAGTTAACTGCTAGTAGTAAGTTGTTATTTATGTATTATTGTCATTTTGTTTATTTTCTTTGGTTACATCTTCTGACATCAGACTCGGACTTCTCTTGAACTGAATTTTAATGTGCATATTGTTATGCATTTACTTTTCTACATTGGCTAGAGTTATAGGGGGAGGGTTGAGATCTCATAAACATGTTTAACCCCGCCGCATTTTTGCGCCTGTCCCAAGTCAGGATCCTCTAGCCTTTGTTAGTCTTGTATTATTTTTAATTTTAGTTTCTTGTGTACAATTTGGAGTTTAGTATGGCGTTCATTATCACTGAACTAGTATATATATTTGTTTAGGGGCCAGCTGAAGGACGCCTCCGGGTGCGGGAATTTCTCGCTGCATTGAAGACCTGTTGGTGACCTTCTGCTGTTGTCTGTTCTATGGTCGGGTTGTTGTCTCTTTGACACATTCCCCATTTCCATTCTCAATTTTATGAAGACATATCACCCTCAGTAACCCGGACATATTATTTATACTATTAACAGACCAGTCTGTCTTTTCTCTTACTATTTAATGCTGCTTGTTTAGCTGATAAGCAGCAAACACCAATTTTAAAGTCTTTGATTTGCCCAGGTCACGGATCCACCCACAATTTCCATAACTTGAGGCATTAAGCAGGATACCACAAGACAATATGACATATAAAAGATAACCAGTATATCAATAGGAGGATAGACTTTTAACCAAAGACAAAACTTGAGGAGAGCAGGCTACCAAGAGACAAGTATGACATAAGAAAACCAGTAAATATAGGCAGTAAAACTAACCAAAGACAAGTGAGTCCTTGTAAAAAACTATCAAATCAAGTATTTAGCAATAATGTCATTAAATAATTCTAATACCCTACTTAAAATTAAATCCACACAATGACAAAAGTATTTAAATTTGTCAAATCATCCTTAATTAACATTTTGACAAAAGTTTCAATTAATAAATATGCATATATCATATATATTTTATTGCAACTGTTATCATAAAATGTTATCATAAATCGTAATGAATCCATGTAGATACAAAGACACGTAATTTTTAAGTGTCATCTTCAGAAGTTTAACAAGTCAGATTTATCTGGTTACAAAAAGTTACAATATATTGATTAAATATCGGATAATTCTTTATAAATTAAAATGGAACCCATCAAGGCCTTGGGTAATGAAATATAGTACACCACAAATCATTTACATACCACAATAAACAAAATAACACATGATAAATTGCACAAGTCCAAAATAACACTTGGTAAATTGCATGTGTTTGTAGCACTTTCCTGGATTTACTTTCACCACAAAAATATAGTCAATCTGGTAAGTAGTTCATTTGCCATATTAGTATACTCTAAATTCAGGAATTATTGCAAGATTTTCATTTATGCGAATAATATGACTGGATGAGTATTGCATTAATAAGAACTCGTATTTTGGTTGAGTGTTGCAATAATCTGATATATGCACATATATCTGTATGCAGATTTTCCTGAAATTGCAATAATTAATAGTGACAAGGTAACCTTTCTGTAAGTGAAAGTAATAGGCTTTCCCGTATTTTTTAAGCAGCAGGTTTATTTGAAGAAGCTGACAGGAGCACTGGGTGCAATGTTAACATAATTTTTATTTATTCACTCAAATAATTAGGTCAGAGGAAAAGAGGACAGCCAACATCATGAAGTAAAAGGCTAGTTAGGTCATCACAGAAAATCACAGTTATTATCATCTTAAAAGTTTTTAACTTGACTTCTTCAGTGGCTCTTTGAAAAAAAATATTACCTTTAAAATCAATTGCAAGTTAAACTGAACTGTTCATATCTTAACAGGTATTTTTTCTCATTAGTTTATTAGGGCCTCTGTGACAGAATGGTCTAAGTAGATCAACTACTGTATCACTAGCCTGTCAACACTAAGGTTGTGTGTTCGAACCCCGAAACTGGCAGGTGCCTTCGATTCCAATCATAATTGACTAAGCTTGTCTGAGTTTTCTTGTCTAAAGTCAGTTGTGGTTCTCTCTCTGCACTCTGGCTTCCTCCACCAATAAATACTGATCCCCATGAAATAGCCAAAGCAATAGTGCTGAAAGTGGCGTTAAAATACCAAAAATCAATCAATCAAAAGATTATTTTTGGAAAATGACTTGAAGGATCTTGTGACTAATTTACGTCATCTTATACAAATCATAGTTATACAATAAGGGTCCTGGTAATACAATAATGATTTAATCTGCATATGCAATTCTTGCAAATTCTATTCGTAAAAGATAATATATTTCTATGTATTTCATTATTGATGCTAAAACATGACACCTAATACTATTCAATTAAGTGATGGTCCACACTTCAGTACCCATGATCAACACATAATCTGTCAAATTATTGCAGACAAAGTGTGTATTTAAAGTGTGTCCACGGCTTTTCTAAAACAATCAATGTTCTTTATGGTCTTATAAAGAGATTTACAATTCATCTGTAGTTAACTAAGTAAATCTGGAACTTTATAAATCTGATTTAAAACACTACCTTATATCAGGCCAACCTAAGACTATTTTAAGGTCATAAATAGAATTATGATGAAAACTTTTGATTACAAAATAGAACCCAATTTGACAAAATATAATTCATTCCATCAATAAAATCTATTAGTAGAGTTAAAATGAAGATTTGTGAGGATTGTAGACTGAAGCCCTTGTTTTCAATTAAATAACATAAAATTGACAACAAAAAATATTTTGTAACCCTTTTTCAACACTAACACATCCCCCCCCCCCCCCCAAAAAAAAAAAATTAAATACCAGTATTGCAAAAAATGTCTGGATCTTACACCATACTTATGTTATTTTTCTTTCCCTTAGTAATATCTAATTGAGTTTCTATGCAATATTTACCACAGCATTTAACTCTATCTTCATTACAATGCTAAATATGTTAGTACCAGTTTTTAGAGGATATGCTTTCAATATTACGGGCCATAATATAAAACAAATCTATAATTTGACTGAGTAATATATTAGAACTTTCAAGAATGCCTGTACCAAATTTACACTTAGCATAAGGTTTCAATTTGAGAAAAGACAAATTATTTTTGCCTGGCCTTTGAAGTGCAGATTATAAATAATGATACATTTAAATATTGTTTACCATTGATTTTACATACAGCAGGATTTACAAGTTTGAAAAATTTCACCAATATAATGACACCTTGAATACAAAAAGGTAAGAAAATGGTCTGTCTGCTTTGAATTCTAATTCCCTATGTTTATTATCTATATAATGTTGATTCCGTCATTTTCCTGGGTACCAATTTTTGTTGATTGGTATTTTCGTTGATATTTGATTTAATAGTTTTTCTGAGGTCTGTTTACAAGACTATAGAAAAATTGCAATTTGTTGAAAATTTTAATTTGTGGTCCATCTATACACACGAAATCTACAAATAATGATGAATCTATAATTCCCTATGTTTATAATCTACATATTGCTGATGATGGTGTTTGTGTCATTTGATTGTTTTTATCCTTTTTTATATATATTATTTAAGCCATGAACAATAGGGGTAACTAAAAAAAATTCTGCCACTTTACATATTGTACTGTATACAAGGTCATGTAAAACTGAACTTAGAATTCTAAGCCAACTCTGCTACTGAGCTTCTCAACAACTAGTATTACCTAGTCTGCATCTTATTGAATTGTCTGTCTTCTATTTAGAATGTTAGAAGATATATTAGTAAGACACAATCATTGTCTGTCTTCTATTTAGAATGTTAGAAGATATTAGTAAGACACAATCATTGGCTGTCTTCTATTTAGAAGATATTAGTAAGACACAATCATTGTCTGTCTTCTATTTAGAAGATATTAGTAAGACACAATCATTGTCTGTCTTCTATTTAGAAGATATTAGTAAGACACAATCATTGTCTGAAAAATTGATGCTATGGATTCAATAATTCGTTGGATACCAATTTTCAGGGATTTTGTGGGTATTGGTACACCCCCGAAATCAAATGTTAAACAATGTACAAATAACCTATAAGTTTCAATGCAGACTTTGTCAAAACCATCAAAACACAAAAATGGATGCCCACGATAAAGTAAATGAATCCATAGTAATTATGAACTATACAGATACATTCTGGCTATATTTTTGAACATTATACTAAAAATTAAAGAATCCTTATTATTATTATTATTATTAAATTATTTATCAAATACTAATTTCAAAATTCACTTATGGAATAAATGTTGGTCAGCCATCATCAATTGATCTATGACAGTTGGTATCAATTTTTCTGATTTCATTGATACTTTATTCCGTAGCTTCAACAAATTCTGTGTATTCTAAAATATAAAAATAAGAAGTTGTGGTATGATTGCCAGTGAGACAACTCTCCACAAAAGACTAAATGACACAGAAATTAACAACTATAGGTCAACCTACAGCCTTCAACAATGAGAAAAACCCATATCTTATAGTCAGCTATAAAGGCCCAAAATGACAAATGTAAAACAATTCAAACGAAAAAAGTCTGTGTGAAATTCTGTATTTTTTGTTGTTACACTTAAATTTTTAGTTAACCAAAAAAATAAAAAAAAATAAATACCCCACATTTGACAATTGTTAAAAACTATTTTGCTTACTCAGATCAACATTAAATATGGATGCCATAGAAAATATCAATATCATGGATTTGTAAGACTTTCTCTAATTTCTTCTTACATTTTTTTAATAAAGTTTTGTTACAATTAAAATAGTCATACTACTAAGTTAATTAAACAACATTCAGCACAATCAATGCCGAATATGGTGTCAAAATTGCCACTAGAATTTTACTAATGTTTGAATCGTTCAATCTTTCAATTTTCTGTGTAAAATAAGGATATGTCCTTTAATTGCCAATGAGACAACTGTCAACCAGGATGTTAGCAAATATTGGTCACTGTATGGCCTTAAACAATGAGCAAAACCCATACTGTATAGTCTGCTATAAAAAGCCCAAACATAACTAAAGGTGAAACAATTCAAAGGAGAAACCCAATGGCCTAAAAAAATGTTAATGAATAAATGGGGAACGTGTCCATGGGACACAGATGATGCCCCCGCTTGCATATTATATAAAGTTATAAAGGGACATAACTGAAGAACAGTAAAAGTGACGCTACCCAAATTTGTACTTGATCTAAGTTTTGTGGTAATAAGAATTCTGTATAAGTTTCATAACATTTGGTTGAGGCAAAATTAAGTTAGAGAACGGAAACAAAAAATTCAGCAATTTTTCCATTTGTAAAGGGGCATAACTCTAGAACAGTAAAAGTGATACCACCAAAATTCCATCTTGATCTATATTTTGTGGTAATAGGCATTGTGTATAAGTTTCATAACATTTAATTGAGGCTACCGTAAGTAAGAGAACGAAAACGAAAAATTCAGCAATTTTTCCATTTGTAAAGGGGCATAAGTCTAGAACGGTTAAAGTGACACCACCAAAATTCAAACTTAATCTGTATTTTGTGGTAATAAACATTGTGTATAAGTTTCATAACATTTGGTTGAGGCAATCTTTAGTTAGAGAACGGAAACAAAAAATTCAGCAATTTTTCCATTTGTAAAGGGGCATAACTCTAGAACGGTTGAAGTGACACCACCAAAATTCAAACTTGATCTGTGTTTTGTGGTAATAAGCATTTTTTATAAGTTTCATAACATTTGGTTGAAGCAAACTAAAGTAAGAGAATGGAAACCAACTTTGGGACGGACGGACGGACGTACAAATGGACAAGGGTAAAACTTATTGTCCCCTCCGCTACAGCGGGGGCATAAAAAACATATATAAATAAAGAGCTGTGCCATGAGTGCATGATACGCCTGTTGCTTTTTCAACGAAAAAAGTTCCATAACTCCTCAATGTCATTTCAGAAATTTATAAAGAAAAACTATTAATTAAAGGGAGCTTGTTTTAATAGATATATAAACAAGTCACCAAAGTTTCAGGAAAACTGAATAAAATAAATAAAATCTCACAACTCAGACACGTAAAATCTAAAATTTATAAAAATCAAATTGGAGCTTACGTTGATAGATATAAACAATTCATCAAAGTTTTTACAAAATCGTTAAAGCGTTTTTGTCTGACATGTTGACAACAAGCTGATGGACCGACAGAGGTACAGACAGATGATCAGAGGAACAGACAGACAAACAGAGGGGCTGATGGACGGAGGGACAGACAGACAAACGGATGGACAGACAGACAATGGTAAACCATAATACGTCCTGTAAACGGACGTATAAAAACAGCAACCTACGAAAAAAATTCATAAGGGTTCCACGGAACCCACTGTCTCGCCTACTTTTGCTGTTAGGTGCAGGCTCAACAAAAATGGGGAAAAAGTTATTAAAAATTTTCCTCTAAATACTATCTTTTTATTGTAAGAAGCTTCTGTCCAAGTTTGGTAAAAATCTAGGATGGTTTATGAATCTAATAAATGTTTTAAAAACTTTATCTGCAGACTGTATGTAATGTTAACTGGAAGAAAAACTAAGTCCATTTATAAGTAATATACGGAAAAACAGGAAATAAATTTTTACAAAATTTCCTTCTAGATACTAGCTTTTGATCATAAACAAGCTTCTGTCCAAGTTTGGTACAAATCCAGGATAGTTTAAGAAAGTTATTAAAATTTTTAAAACTTTAACCACAGAGTGAATGTAATGTTAACTGGCAGAAAAACATAGTCCATTTATAAGTTAAATACGGATAAACAGGATTTTTTTTTTACAAAATTTACTTCTGGATACTAGCTTTTGATCATAAACAAGCTTCTGTTCAAGTTTGGTACAAATCCAGGATAGTTTAAGAAAGTTATTAAAATTTCAAAAAACTTTAACCACAGAGTGAATATTTGTGGATGCTGCCGCCAACGACGGAATGTAGGATCACTATGTCTCGCTTTTGCGACAAAAGTCGCAGGATCGACAAAAATCAAATAACATGCTACTGTCTTTATTTCCTTGAACACTGTTTCGTCTGTTCTTTAAACTTCCAGATTTGGACTTGCCATACATTAAATTGAAACTTTGTCACATGCGTCGTATGGGTTTTGCACCCTTTCGAAGCCTGTACAATGACCTTTAGTTGCTAACATCTACATCATTTGGTCTCTGTGGAGAGTTGTCTCATCAGTAATCATAACACTTACTTACTTACTTACTTATCCTCTTCATCCCCAGTGGGACATAAGGCCACCATAATCATAACACTACACCTTGTTTTATATAACAGTGGTCAGAAATTGAACTATTGTATTGATCATTTACAGTTCTATAAGCTGACGTAGATCACAGATTTAACTTAACCAGTGATGCTTCTACATGCAGAAGACATGAACCAAATTGAGAAAGCCACGTTACAGAACTGTCGTAATTGTCTACTGGAAGATCTAGATCCTACTATGTCATTTTTATCTCTACTGTACTGTTCTAGGATAATAACAGAGGATCAGAAAGACAGGGTTGAGGTATACTTTAATCAAACATTTCTCTTTATTTACACTGGTAGGATTTTAACAGAAACTTAAGATTTATAGATTATCGATGGTTTTTCAAATGAGAGGGTGTTTCTCAGCTACAATCTCATCGAAGGGGTAAAACCCTGAGATGAGATGTGGCCATAACATCCTTCAGTTTGAAAGACCATAGATAATCTGTTTATCGCTATTTTGACGTCGTTGATGTTTACATTGACAACAGCATGTGCACCCTCACTTCCTGACGATAATTTTCGATCTCAATAAAGCATCAAGTAGCATGATATGAAAAATTATAACAAAAATAGATGAAAGGAAAAATACACAAAAAAGCGATAAACTAATATTATAGAGAAAGCAGAAAATTTCCAAACACATCTTTTTTTTTTTAAATTCAAACTCAACTTCCGGAGTTTTATACTGAAATTCTTTACCACTTTAAATTTGTCCAAATTTTACATGTAATTTCTCACCAATTTATTATTCCTAAGATATCACTATTCATTTAATGGGTTGGGCTTTAGGAAATCATATCATTTACTTATAAATAACTATGGTTCAGTAAAACAACTTGATGCAAAAAAGATGCAGAAGATCAAAAATCATAAGTTGCAGAAAAACTGACAACAACATGGCAAAAAAAACATAACATCGAAGAGACTAACAGTCTACAAAGCACTACATAGAAAACTAAAGAATGAGCAACACCAACTTCACCAAAACCTATGGTGATCTAAGTGCTTCAGAAGGGAAAGCAGATCTCAACCAAGTACAAATGTTTCCATTTGATAGAAGAAAGCCATTTATTTACTAAAAATCTTAAAATAAGTCATTTTTCAAATGTAATTATCTGTCATTTCAGAACCAAAGGACAAGGCAAGATAAAGTCATAACACTATTAGATATTCTACCTCGACGAGGTCCAAGGGCCTTCCGTAAATTTATAGATGTTCTAGAAACAGACTATAATTGGATAAAAGAGAGATTAGAAGATGAATTACAAGCTCAGGAATGTATGTAACTATTTAGGTGTTATAAAATTATGAACAAAAAAATATTTTTTATACAATGTCAAATGTAGTTTATAGCACGATCTATATGATTAAATTACAGATTCAGTGTTTAAGCTTTGCTTTCAAGGATCTGATAACACTCTGTTTTACTTTCTGTTCTGGTAATTATTACATCAGCCAATGAAATTTCAGCCTTCAAATTTTTGAAGGTGTGTATTAATCCCACAAAACCAGAGGATCCTGAAAGGTCTTTGAACAGAAAGTAGATCACAACTCATAAGCAAAGCATGCATGGACACAGGATCGGTGTTCTAATCCGACTACATTACAAGATGCTTCTAAAATTTGAATAAAATATAATATGTCACAAATACATAACAATAAATGGCACGATTGCCAATGAGACAACTATCCACCAGAAACCAAACGACTTAGCAAGCTATAAAAGCTACTTTTCAAATGATTGATTGAATGACTGTTGCCTGCTAATTGTCTAGTGGCAATTATTTCACGCATATTCAGGATATGACAAACAATTACCAATTAATACAGGTTTAGGTGAGATGATAGAAACAGTTTTACTGATATCATATATATATTAAGTTATTATTATTAGAGAGGGGCCTCGGTGGCCGAGTGGTCTAAGTAGTTGAACTACTGTATCACTAGCCAGTCAACACTGAAGTTGTGAGTTCGAATCCCTCATGGGGCAGGTGCTATCGACTCCAATCTTAATTGACAAGGATTGTCAGTTTTCCTACCGAAGGTCGGTGGTTCTCTCCGGGCAATCCGGCTTCCTCCACAAATAAAAACTGACCACCACGAAATAGCACAATAGTGTTGAAAGTGGCGTTAAACACCAATCAATCAATCAATCAATATTATTATTAGATATTAAACATCCACTCAAATTACTGGCATTTCTCTAACAAAATTTTCTATTCTCATTAATTCAAGATCTATGCAAATCATGTGCAATGTCCGAGGTGGCATCGACAATTTTTACACACCCATATTTCTTCATATTAATTGAAAGTTGTTAAAAGTTTACATAAAGGTATAATTTTTTTACCCGAAAACTTAATCTTTATCTTTATGAATTGAAGGTACAATGGGAGTATACTTAACCCCATCTTGAATTGTAAATGACCTAAATAATAGTCCAGATTCTTACAGAAATTAGAAAATTTTAATACAATTATAATAATTTATTTGTGAGACTTTTCCTTTGAACAAAGAATGATCATACTAGTTTGTCTTATGGTAGTAAATTTTTTACAAACAGAAAAAAAATTTCAAATATAAATTTGTAAGGGGAGATAACTCAGATTATTTAGTTTTATTCAAAAATATGCTGTAAAACAAGGAATTATCTGAATCTGGAATAAGTTTGAACCCTAGTAAAATTGATAAGAAATGTATGATGAAAACTAACCCAACTAAATAGGGTTAGCCATGGGTTAACCGTGTGTGCATGGCTAAGGTTAATTTTACTTTCACTGATATTTCATTATGAGCTAACTAACCCCCCTTACCGATGCATGCTATGCGTGCATGGCTTACCCTATTTAGTTCAAAATAGTTGGGTTAGTTTTCATCAGACATTTCTTATCAATTTTCCAGAATTCAAAATTATTCCAGATTCAAATAATTCCTTGTTTGTAATGTTATCCATATTGTTATGTATATACTTTGTACTAATATGGCAACCCTCTTTTTCCTTTTTTTCCAGAAAGCTATGATGATATTGTAAGAGCTAAATCTAATTTTTTTATTTCAAAATTCAATCATTTACTTTTTTTCAAAGTCACAAGATATACATGTAAATTCATACAAACACAGTGGCCTTTTTTTGAAACCAGTCTGCACCAAAATCTTTTCCACCTCGAACTAATCTGAAGACTAATATCCTGACAATCTCCTTATGTGTCTAAACAAAGTTTTGCAAAAACTGCTAGTCCAAATAAAATTTTACTAGTCTGTGGTATTGGACTAGAGACTAAAGGTGAAGACTGTGAAGCACTACAAAAATGTCTATCCTATATATATATCTTGTGAAGAGAGATATTAGTGACAATAAGTTCTGGCTTTATGTCCAATAAGTTATTAAAAGTCTCAGCAATGATCGGTTGGTTTTACTAATTTCAGATCAAAAAAGAATACTCGATGCTATCGATGACAGAATGAAACAAAATGGAGAATTTATCCGTGACAAAGATTACATAGACAAGATAGTCAGGGAAACAATTTTACCATTTCTTCTTCAAGAATTACGTACATCACCCTCAAGTAGCCCCTCAAATAAAATAGATCAACCTCTTAAGGATGTTATAACCAATCATTTGATTCCCTTACTTGGAGGATCTTTATCTAAGAATAAACTTGAGGCCAATCAAGAGGTTTTGATGGAAAAAGCTGTTGAAATAATTGATCAATTACGTGAAAAGTGTTGTGACACTTTAGGAATATCAAGTGAGTCTTGTCAAGATGAAACCCTACCTGCTTTGATTGAGAGAAGAATGATCGAGCTTAAAACAGAGATAACACTTTTACGTAAAGAAAATAAAAAATCTAAAAAGGCTGAAGAAAAATTAACAACAGAAAATCAAAAACTGAAATCTGATAACACAACACTGAAGTCAGACCTAAAAAAGTTAAAATCAGATTCACAAGGATCAAGGAACGAATTAAAGAAATTAAAAGACGAAAATCAGAAATACAAAACAGAAAATACAAAACTCAAACAAGAAGTAAAATCTTTAAAAGAAACTTTAAATGATGCTGGAGTGGACTTGTTGATCTCTTCAGATTTCTGTGGAAGCTAACATTCAAAGATCTCTACAGATTTCTGTGGAAACTAACATTAAAAGATATCTACAGATTTCTGTGGAAACTAACATTAAAAGATATCTACGGATTTCTGTGGAAACTAACATTAAAAGATATCTACAGATTTCTGTGGAAACTAACATTCAAAGATCTCTACAGATTTCTGTGGAAACTAACATTAAAAGATATCTACAGATTTCTGTGGAAAATAACATTAAAAGATATCTACAGATTTCTGTGGAAGTCGCATTCAACAATCTCTAGGGATTTCTGTGGAAGCTAACATTCATAAATCTCTATGAAATTCTGTGGAAACTAGTAATCCATCAATTCTACAAGTTTCTGTAGAAGTTAGCAACCAACACTTTTTACAGATTTCTTTGAAAGCTAGCATTCAACAATCTCTAAAGATTTCTTTGGAGGCTAGCATACAACAATCTCTTAAGATTTCTTTGAAAGCTAGCATTCAAAGACCTCTTCAGACATCTGTGGACACTAGCATTCAAAGATCCTTCAAAATTCAGATTTCTGTGGAAGCTAGCAGTCAATGACCTTTACATATTTCTCTTAAAGCTAAAATTCAATGATCTTTCAAATTTCTGTGGAAGCTGGCAGTCAAAAGACCTCTATCTCTACAGATTTCTGTGGAACCTACCATTCAAGGATATCTACAGATTTCTATATGGAAGTTAATCCAGCTTTCAACCATCTTAACAGATTCCTCTGAAAGCTAGCATTGTCATTCAATATTTGTTTCTTACCAGATGAGCTGCATCGGATAGAAATCAACCTTATGCAAATGAATATCAATAAATCTGTATACTTATTTCTGGTTGAAAAAATCTCTACGGAAAGCCTGTAACTGTATGAAAATTGAGTTGTTATAAGAACCCTACAAAACAGTATTTCGCATTTGAATGTTCCAAAATCAATCAAAGTCTTATACATGTACACATATATGTGTACTTACATAAGGTCGATTTTTATCCAATGCAGCCCATATCATATATGTATATGCCAATAATGTTGTGCCAAATATTGCATTTAAATCAAAATGTATTTATAATCAAGATTTTATAAAGTTTGTTTTTTTACTTCATTTTTAATTTCTTTCAGGTCCTTAAAAAAACAAACCAAGGTAGTGCCATTAAAAATTTTGCCCGCTAACCCCTACTTTTCGTTTCATAATTTTATTACATAGTTTAAAAATGCACATTATAAAATCCTTGTTATTTTTTCATTGTTTTTGAAAGAAAAAAGGGTGCCAATGTTAAATGTATGAAAAATCTAGAGAGAATCATTTCCCGCCAAATTTTCAATGGCTTATATCTAGAAAAAAAGCACACGGACCCTTCATTTTTTCTGCTTTTTTAGTTCCTTCATTTATATACTATCAATTTATAACAGTCTTTTAAAAAGCTTCTTAGTTTGATACAGAGTAGCAAACATCCTTAAGCATGTTTAATAGATTTGAATTATGTTCACTATGATTTTTACAAGACCCATAAGCTGTGTTTGATTTTTAACTTGCTGGATCATAAATCTGCCAAATGACATGTCATCCTACATCTCACAAAACATGTCTAACCCCGCCGCATTTTTGCTCCTGTCCCAAGTCAGAAGCCTCTGGCCTTTGTTAGTCTCAAATGTTTTTTTAATTTTAGTTCTCTTATATGTTTTGGAGTTTAGTGTGACGTCCATTTTAACTGAACTAGTACACATTTTTGTTTAGGGGCCAGCTGAAGCCCGCCTCTGGGTGCGGGATTTTCTCTCTGTGTTAAAGACCCATTGGTGGCCTTGGGCTGTTTTCTGCTCTTTTGTCAGGTTGTTGTCTCTTTGACACATTTCCTATTTCCATTCTCAATTTTATAGAAACATTTGCCAAACAATATTTGGTCTTACTCTTACATATAACCTTCCCGAGCAGTCAATACTAACTATGTTATCCTTGGTATATATTGAACCCATAGAACTTATTGCTATTTGGAAATCTGCGCCACTTGACAAAAGAATCTGCGCCACTTGAACTATTGACGTCATACAACAATCACTTTTCAATTGTGGCGTCAGATACTTTCTATTGTGACGTCAAAAATTTACTGGAACCTTTGTGATGTCCAGTAATGGCGGACAAATAGCGATAAGGTGTATTACCTGTCACACCCATGGGAAAAAAAACAACTATGCTAAAGCCTGCACACAATGATGGATGCCATATATAATAAGCTAATATCATTTGATTGAATGAACCGTAGTACCTTAACCTGTATAACAAAAATACTGAACTCCAAGGCAATTAAAAAAAAGTCCATAAAATCTGACAAAATAAAACACAATCAATCAATAGAACAAGTGAAAAACAACTGCCATATTCCTGACTTGGTACAGGCATTTTCCAAAGAAAATGGTGGATTAAACCTGGTTTTATAGCTAGCTTAACCTCCCACTTTGTATGACAGTTGTTTAAAGTTCCGTTATATTGACAAATGTGGTAAATAACAGATACATGTATATAAAAATTCCAAAAATTTTGTTCATCCAGTATTTATGTACTTCAAATAAACTGCCAATAATAACACATGTCAGATAAACTGAATGACCAGTGAACATATAAGTATTTCAATACTATCTAGTGCTTTTTTATCTATTTCAATGAAATTTGATACGACACACCCCTTTAAACGTACATGCTTTATTAAGCCAAAAACAAATTGCATTGTCTTTTTATTAAATACTGATATTCATCTTTATGTTCAGTTAAATATCTGTCAAGGTCAAGTCCATGATGACCTAAGTTTAGAACTCATGGTAAGTTCATGACTAAAAACCTTAAATAAACCATTGACAAAGCAATATTTCACCACAGTAGTAAGAAAACTTAACCATAACATGTCTATATTTAGGAAAGTCAAACAACTCCCACAAAAAAAGTCCAATCAAATTGATGATGCAGTGAGGTTAATATACAACATAAATAAACAACTTCACTAGTTATGAAAGCTTTAAAACATCAGGTCAAGGAGGAAGATGCAGGGAGGTCAATAAACAACATGAATAAACAACTTCACTAGTTATGAAAGCTTTAAAACATCAGGTCAAGGAGGAAGATGCAGGGAGGTCAATAAACAACATGAATAAACAACTTCACTAGTTATGAAAGCTTTAAAACATCAGGTCAAGGAGGAAGATGCAGGGAGGTCAATAAACAACATGAATAAACAACTTCACTAGTTATGAAAGCTTTAAAACATCAGGTCAAGGAGGAAGATGCAGGGAGGTCAATAAACAACATGAATAAATAACTTCACTAGTTATGAAAGCTTTTAAACATCAGGTCAAGGAGGAAGATGCAGGGAGGTCAATATACAACATGAATAAACAACTTCACTAGTTATGAAAGCTTTAAAACATCAGGTCAAGGAGGAAGATGCAGGGAGGTCAATAAACAACATGAATAAATAACTTCACTAGTTATGAAAGCTTTTAAACATCAGGTCAAGGAGGAAGATGCAGGGAGGTCAATAAACAACATGAATAAATAACTTCACTAGTTATGAAAGCTTTTAAACATCAGGTCAAGGAGGAAGATGCAGGGAGGTCAATAAACAACATGAATAAATAACTTCACTAGTTATGAAAGCTTTAAAACATCAGGTCAAGGAGGAATATGCATGGTTATATAACAAGATGTTATTGAGAAATGGGCAACTTATAGTTAAAGTCCCATAACTCAAAAAATTGTCATATCAAAGTGAGGATACATTGAGATTAATTTTAAGACAGGATGGAAAACAATTTCCTTAGTATAAAAGTTTTCTGACATTGGTCAAGGAGGAAGATGCAGGGAGGTCAATAAACAACATGAATAAATAACTTCACTAGTTATGAAAGCTTTTAAACATCAGGTCAAGGAGGAAGATGCAGGGAGGTCAATAAACAACATGAATAAATAACTTCACTAGTTATGAAAGCTTTAAAACATCAGGTCAAGGAGGAATATGCATGGTTATATAACAAGATGTTATTGAGAAATGGGCAACTTATAGTTAAAGTCCCATAACTCAAAAAATTGTCATATCAAAGTGAGGATACATTGAGATTAATTATAAGACAGGATGGAAAACAATTTCCTTAGTATAAAAGTTTTCTGACATTGGTCAAAGAGGTGTTCACAAGGTGTCTTTATTCTACAATAGACAAATTTGGTCAAAGTCCCACAACACATGCAAAATGGCAGTATTAGTATTATTAACTAAACACAAATTCATACCAAATATAAAAGATTTCAATCAAAAGGTCTTAGAGGAGTGGTGTCATAAGGTGTAGTTATGATACAATGAGCCAAAAATTGTGAAAGTCTTAAACATTATTACAAGCAATCTCACTATGTATGGAAGTAGACATCGGACATAGTGTGAAAGAAGCTAAGCATTCACTGGGCCACATAATTGTCAAACTACAGCAAAAATTGTCAAATCCAAATGGTTGCTTACCGGTAGTATGGTCAAGTGCACATGATGACAAACAATACTACAAACTATGAAAGCTTGCAGGCAAATCATTGAATAGAATACAGAATTGAAACGGGAATGTGTCAGAGACAACAACCAGACCTAAGAGCAGAAAATACAAGACAAGGGTCTTCAACGCAGCGAGAAAATCCCGCACATGCCCCTAAATAATAATAATATATACTATGTATACTATTCAGCGAAATGGACACCACACTAAACTCCGATTCATACAAATGAACCAAAATTTTTTAAAAAAACACACAAGACTAACAAGCCAGAGGATCCAGACTTGGTACAGGTACCAAAATGTGGTGGGGTTAAACAGGTTTTGTAAGATCTCAACCCTCCCCCAATACCTCTGGCTTATGTTTCTAAATAAACACACACACAGCAATACGCACAGTAAAACCTTGTTTAAAAGAAGTCCAAGTCTAATTTTAGAATAGGTAACAGAAGTATCTAAGCAAAATGATTAACAGAAATTAACAACTTTAGGACTACTAGAAGTTACTGATATAAAAGATATAAAAGCTCTAGACCTCAATAAACTTGGTGGAAAGATTATGTCTCCATCATATGATAAGACTGTACAGTGACTTATACTATGTTGCTTACATCCACATAAGTTGGACTCTGGTGGATAGTTGTTTCATTGGCAATCAAACCCCCCCCCCCCCCCCCCTTGCAAAGTCCATGAAGAACAGATTAACAGACCAATGGAAAGACTTCATCATCACTAAATAAAACTGTTTTAGAAAGCAGGGATTTAATTAACTATGCAAATTAAACTGCATCTTGTTTTACAATGTATAAATTTCATTTTCTGATTAGTTCTCAAGACTGCTTTACTGATCATTTTCCATAATCTTTCAATGAAACCTACAATTGAAGTTCATGTCTAGTAGAATATTAAATAGCTTCCCAGTAAATCTTATCTATTATATATTCATAATGGTAGTTAACACTAATACTTTCCAAATTCTATTGTTACATGTTAGTTTGTAAGGAGATTAGGAAAAGATCAGACTTTTACGTGCCAACCTAAAATTCCCGTACTTTTCTAACCCCTGTTCTAATTTATACAATTAAGTTATTAAGTCAAGGCCTTGTTAATAGAAACAAAATACAAGTTAAATTATGATTATTTGTATCTAAAAGGGTTAAATTTCAGTGTAGAAATAATTGAGAACTAGTCCAAACAATTTATATATCTATTTTGACGGTTTAGACTTATATTTCAATAGACAGTGTGAATCATGGCCTGATCATGGGTCACTGAAATGTTTTGTTCAAGTAAGAGCTATGGTACAATAAAACAGTTCCGTCATCATATGAATATAAAAGTTTAAATGACATTTTGACTTTTCACATTTACATTCATGACAATCATATTAGGAAAGTCCAGAAAAGATTTTAATCTTTACTCATCTAATTCTTTTTTTTTCAACTGATACAAATTATATGGGACTGTTCAGTGGAATCATCCTTTGCATGCAAAGAGCGTCGCACCTGGCTATAGAGGATTCAGGGATACTGGCATGAAATATTATGTAACAGGCTATCACCTAGTAGCACAGTTTTATATAGGGTTCATGTTGTTCAGTCTTTAGTTTCAGCTACCATCTAGTACCACAGTTTTATAAAGGGTTCATATTGTTCAGTCTTTAGTTTCAGCTACCATCTAGTAGCACAGTTTTATATAGGGTTCATGTTGTTCAGTCTTTAGTTTCAGCTACCATCTAGTACCACAATTTTATATAGGGTTCATGTTGTTCAGTCTTTAGTTTTAACTACCATCTAGTACCACAGTTTTTATTTATAAAGGGTTCATGTTGTTCAGTCTTTAGTTTCAACTACCATCTAGTTGCACAGTTTTATATAGGGTTCATATTGTTCAGTCTTTAGTTTCAGCTACCATCTAGTAGCACAGTTTTATATAGGGTTCATGTTGTTCAGTCTTTAGTTTCAGCTATCATCTAGTACCACAGTTTTAAATAGGGGTCATGTTGTTCAGTCTTTAGTTTCAGCTATCATCTAGTACCACAGTTTTATATAGGGGTCATGTTGTTCAGTCTTTAGTTTCAGCTATCATCTAGTACCACAGTTTTATATAGGGGTCATGTTGTTCAGTCTTTAGTTTCAGCTATCATCTAGTACCACAGTTTTTATGTTTTGTTTTTGTTGTCTTTTTTTTTTTTGATAAAGACGTTTTCAGTTTCTCTTCAGCTCATGAGTGTTGAATATCCCATGGTAACTTCCACCTCTTTTATTTTCTAAATAACCAGGACTGTGGTAGTGGACGATTCAGATTTAAGATCTGTTTCAATCTTTTTGGTTAGCCTTGTTTTATATATATATATATATATATATATATATATATATATAAACAAGTCTAAATTGAAAACAACGTTCAAACCTATGATTGCGTTGGATAAAAACCGCAATTTTTATACGTGTGCATGCAAAACAAATTTCTTTGTAGAGGGGTCTAAATACAGCACAAACAACATTTTCCAAAAGACCAAAAAAGTGAAAAAGTATATTTTAACAAAACGCATTTGACTAGCAGGTCGAACAACGGATGTTCTTAAACCCTGCTGACTGCCATGGCGATTGCCAAATAAACGGATCACAGATGTAACACAATGGATCTTAATTATATTAATTTAATACCAAACAGAAAACAATAAACTTGCGGAAAAGATGGTATATCGCAAACATGAGGTGCAAAAATTTGTACACCATATCCGGATTTCGACAATTAATGTCTCTTCAGTGATGTTAGGAATTGAAACGGTATTTGGAAGGCCATATGATTAACCTCAATTTGGGATTGACTCTTGAATTTTGAAGAGTCGAAATAGGATGAACTGATCATATAAACCTGAAGGCAAATATAATACAAGCCCAAACGAAAAACTATAAACAAGTCTTAATTGAAAACAACGTTCAAACCTATGATTGCGTTGGATAAAAACCGCAATTTTTATATGTGTGCATGCAAAACAAATTTCTTTGTAGAGGGGTCTAAATACAGCACAAACAACATTTTCCTAAAGACCAAAAAAGTGAAAAAGTATATATATATATATATATAAGTCTGTTCATAGGAAATACCCTTTAATGAGCCTAAAAAATGAAACAATTCTTTTTTTAATAGATATATCTGTAATGACGCATACTTACTATTGTTACTTATTCTTCCATAGCTTACAACTAACTGTTCATTTTTGGCTTAGATTTCAGAACTTTTAGGTGGAGGTATAAACTTATAGACAAAAAATTGGATATAAACAATAAAAAGGTATTAGTTCCATTATTATTCATCAAATATACTTAAATACAAACTTTTTTTTAAATCTGAAGATTTCATAAAAATGAATTGTGTAACATTTAAAATGACTTTGTTTAGATAAAAAAAAAATTTCAGTTCCATTTGCAGAAAATAAGGTTAAAAATGTTTTTCCAAATTTAAAATCAAATACAATGAGAAATCTAAAGATAAGTGTAAAACAATGAGACATATGTGAATTGTGTTGTCTTATAATCTGTTACAAGACTTCTACATTTATCAGAAAATTTTACTGCAAACAATTTCAATAACTTTTGTCTCAATTATCAAGTAATTTGCATACTAATTACAGAAATTATGGATCAAAACCAAGTAAGAGCTCTTCACAACTGTCATCGTGACCTCTTACGGGACCTTGAGGTCGATAGGTCATTCCTTCTGTCCTTGTACATTGACAACATCATCACAGAAGAACAGAAAAATGAAATTATGGAAGAAAAAGCACGGAGAGGAAAATGTGCGAAACTTTTGGAAATCATACCTCGCAGAGGACCCCGCTGTTTTCCTATCTTTGTGGCTAAAATAAGGAAAGATTACTCATGGATTGCTGAAAAACTTGAAAAGGAACTAACAAAAGAAAGCAAAAATTTACCGAGAGATGTAAATGACAAGTTGACCAAAGTCATTAACAATGAAGTTTGCCCTATGGTTTATGGTTATGAAAGGAATATCATTACACCTTCCAATAACCACCCTGGACAAACAGTCGGTCGGCTTTCAGAGTTGATGTCTGCTCTCAAGTATAGAAGTTTACGTGCCCTTGAAATGTCAACCAAGGACAGAAGCATTGAAGAAGAGTCCTTGCCAGGACTTATATCCAGAAAAGTTCAGTCTTTGCATGATGATGTCAATGGAATGAAAACAGAATTACATATGGAGAGAAAGAAGATAAGAGCAAGAAATACTGATGATCAAAAGGTATGGATTATTATAAAGTTAAGTGATCTAAATTCAGGTTCATCAACAAAACAGTTTGAATACTCTCTCAGATACTTGTCATGTGTTAGAAAATAAACGAGATAAATGCATTATTTTTTCATTTTTTAGTTATAGTTCAATGAGCCAAATTTGAATCCAAATTTTAACAAAATCTGTGACATAGATATAAGAAGATGTGGTATGAGTGCCAATGAGACAACTCTCCATCCAAGTCACAATTTTTAAAAGTAAACCATTATAGGTCAAAGTACGTCCTTCAACAAGGAGCCTTGGCTCACACCGAACAGTAAGCTATCAAGGGCCCCAAAAATGACTAGTGTAAAACCATTCAAACAGGAAAACCAACGGTCTAATATATATAAAAAACGAGAAACTCTTATGAACCGCATCAACAATCGACATCTACTGAACATCAGGTTCCTGACTTAGGACAGGTGCAAACAAATGCAGTGGGTTTAAACATTTTAATAGGCGCCAACCTTACTGTACAATAGCCTTAATTGTTCTGAATGTCCTCCATAACTTGTCCACGATTTTATACAACCTGCTGTCTGAATTTTGTCATAAAAAAACGAAAACTATACCTTTCTGATGATGCTTGTTACATTCTGGCATATTACCACACATTAGGCCATTGTGGTATCATAATGTTAAAATGACCAACAAAGGGAACAAAGCAGTGACAAATAAAATGATTTTGAGAAACCAGTTAAATGAGACCAAACAGATCTCTTATCATTCATGCTCCTTTTATAGTGGGTCTCCATTTCCGAATTTTTTTATTTTTTAGGCCATTTTTCTCTATTCTTGATTTTTTTTCCATTGTTCTATTTTCTTTCTATTTTAGTACGCCATTATTCGCTATTCTTTTTTTTTTGTGGGGCCTATTTTTCTCTATCCTTTATTTTTTTGGCCGTTTATTTTTTAAATATTTCTAAAACTTTATTTGTTTTGTAGGTGAACAAAGACATCACTAAACTGAAGAAAGATCTCCACAAACACAGAGAATCAAACAAGAAAATGGAATCAACCGTGAAAAATAAAGACAAGAAAATTAGCAGTTTACAAAACTGCAACCTTCATCTAGAAAAGGAAAACTTAGATTTAAAGGCTAGATTAGAAGAACTTGAAAAGTCAGAAAAGCCACAAACACAGAGATTCGGTTCAGCGACTACACACGGATCGCAGGGGATTACAACAATATCAGAACTTTTTGACAACAACTAAGACAACCGTGTAAAAAATATTGTCTCAATAATATATATAACTTTTTTATTAAAAGTAAGGGCCAAAGATCACCATTTCTTTTAAAGACGTGTATTGGCTGGTATCTTGATGAATCATGCTAACTGTGGATTCATCATTATTCGTTGGATATCAATTTTTGTTGACTTTAAGGGTAAAGGTAAACCACCAATCTAAAATTTAAATTACAAAGTACAAATGTTATATAGGCAGAAGGCTTTGATGCAGACTTTGGCAAATCCAAATAAACAGCTGTGCCACGAACGCATGATATGCCCGTCGTCTTGTGTGTAAAGTTTTAAGCAATAATCATAAATCGTTTTTGAGATACGGCACGACATGTGAAAAAAACACCCCCCTGTTTTAGTTACAAAATCCCATAACTTAAAAAGTTTTTATTTTATTTTCACCAAAAAGTATACAGATTGTCTGACCATCAAAAGAAACAACTATGTTAAGTTTCGTGAAATTTGGATAAGTCATTCTCAAGTTACAGTGCAACATGTGGACACAGGACATTTGAATACCATAGTACGTCCCGTCAAAATTTTGACCGACGTATAAAAATCAAGTATTCATGAAAATAAAATTTCCCTCTATCCACGAAAATTGGAATCCACGAAAAATAAATGACTCCACAGTATCTGAAATCAATCAAAAAGTAAACTTGACAAAGAGGTTCTTGAAAAACTACTTTATTTGTTTATATTGGATGGACAAGAATACATTCAATATCCAGAGTTGTAGACTGACTTGCCATCTATTGTTTTTATGTTTTTATGTTTTATGTCTTCATTCAATATTTAGAATTGTAGACTGACTTGCAATCTATTGTTTTTATGTATTCATTCAATATCCAGGATTGGAGATTGACTTGCCATCTTTTGTTCTTATGTATTCATTCAATATCCAGAATTGAAGATTGACTTGCTATAGATCTATTGTTTTTATATTTTTATAAGTTCATCCAATATCCAGAATTGGAGATTGACTTGCCATCATTTGTTTTTATGTATTCATTCAATATCCAGAATTGGAGATTGACTTGGCATCTATTGTTTTTATATTTTTATAAGTTCATCCAATATCCAGAATTGGAGATTGACTTGCCATCTATCGTTTTTATTTTCAAATTCATGGCACATATTTTTAGGATAAAATTGCTATTAGATGAGAAATATTCTAATCATAAAAATTGGAATAAAATATATGGATGAATGGCAACACATATGTTTTCATTTGGCATATAATTTAAGATATGTATGGCATGGGACAAAGTCTCTTTTAGACATTAGTAGCTATTTAAACTAGAGGCTCTAAAGAGCCTGTGTTTAGAGCCTGTGCGGCTCACCTAGGCCTAAGATCATTTTCAACAATGGACTCTCTCCAACATAGTGGACTAGAATAATATTCATGACAAAATTAATTTTTTTTGTTAATCTTGTGTTGCTGATAATTTTTTCTGTCTAATATAGTTTTTCAGATATTAGGCAAATATAAAATAAACTGCCTCACCGAGCACAGCTGGATACGACCGCAGAGGTCCAACCCTGAACAGTGGGGGCAAAAATGGACACAATATTCAAGCTTGATACAGGTCTGAATTTGGATTGTAATTAAATATTTGACACATTATAGGTTTCTGACACAGAATAAATGTAGTCAAAGAACTTGAAATTGGTTGTATGATTTGAATTTATATTCAATTGAAGATTTCTTGCTGTTGTGCAATACACTGTGCTGTTGCGCAATGCTTAGTAAATCTGTTTTCAGACTATATACAAAGAATTAGCAAAATAAATTGTGACCCTCAATTTTTTTCTTCGAAAAATTGACAATTTCTTAAATCTTGAGGGAAAAAAAATTGAACCCCCCCCCCAAAAAAAAAATTTTTTTTTAACCCCCCAAAATAATTTTTTTACCCCCCCCCCCCCCCCCCCCTTTTCCAAAAAAAATAATATTTGAAGAGAATTTTCTTTTGAGGAAAATAAATTGCCCCCCCCCCCCTCCCAAAAAAAACAATCCCAACCTTCCTTTTGTGGTATTGAACCATTTGATTAAATTTCATAGAGATCCATACACTTAAACTAAATTTATAGTCCAGAAACCAAATGTCTTGGGACAAAGCTGACGACGATGCCGACGACGTGATACCAATATACCATTTTTTGCGGTCGTATATAAATCAGTCAAATTCGTCATTTAAGGGCATATAAGAAGTCGTCAGATAGTTTTGAAGTTAATAGACAATATGTAGATCTCATTATTCTGAACATTTTTGCCCGTCAGTTTTTCTCTATTCAAAGTGGTTTTCAAGATAATCGACAAACTTGCATTTTACCCCTATGTTCTATTTTTAGCCATGTCGGCCATGTTGGTTGGCAGGCGGGGTCATAAGACAAATGCTATAAACTATATACCCTAATGATGATTGTGGCCAAGTTTGGTTAAATTTGGCCAGGTAGTTTCAGAGAAGATTTTTGTAAAAGTTAACGACGACAACGGACGACAAGTGATGAGAAAAGCTCACTTGGCCTTTTAGGCCATGTTAGCTAAAAAGTATTATACTTTCTTACTTTCATATTTTCTCTTTAAATCAATAAAATGATTATGAAACTTAACCACCAGACCACAATTGCTTACAGTTTCAGTCAATCTATTAAAGTTTTAAAGATAATAGGCATAAATGCCAAAATTTGAACACACTTAAAACTCAATTGATGGTTTCATTCATACAGACATTTTTGTAAGACTCGTTTAGTTGATCATTTTTGCTGCTACAGTTTATTTTTCAAGATAATAATCACAAATGGCTATAATTGGTCAAAAATTGCCATATGGGGGCAATAACTCCTGTAAGTAGACATCCGACAATTTCTGTAAAATGAATTGGTGGTTGTCATTTGTTGCTGTATATCATATTTGTTTTTCATTCATTATTTTGTACATAAATCAGGCTGTTAGTTTTCTTGTTTGAATTGTGTTACATTTGTCTTTTCGGGGCCTTTTATAGCTGACCATGTGGTATGGGTTTTACTCATTGTTGGAGGTCTTAGGTGACCTATAGATGTTAATTTCTGTGTCAATTGATCTCTTGTGTAGAGTTGTCTCATTGATAATCATACCACATCTTCTTATTTTTATATCGATAGATATTAACATATGTAGCATTTTTCCGTATGATTCTATTTTAGCAGAGTTTAAAAGTTTGTCCCCAAACTTCCATTTTTTTTTATTAGTACTTAATTAATAATAACAATAGGACCACTTAATCAGTTTGATACTTTGACGAAACATACAGATTAAAATCTTAATCATATTAATGACTGTGACCTGGAAAATCCATATACGCACATGTTAAATACAGACTTATAGTAGATAAAACATTTGGATTTAATAATATGTGCAAACAGAAAGTTTTAAAAAAAACAATGAAATAGAATTGTATAATCTCTCAACATATAGTACTTGTCATTTAAATCAACCGATTGCAAAATAGTAAAAATGACACAGAAAGTTCTCTACCGAATGTTTAAAACATAATCCCTTAAATAAATCGTGACATTTAAAGAAAAGTCTGAAGACAGAGCTAACATGAAAAATGCTACCTGGTTTTCAATTTAGGAGATTTTGATACACCTGGATTCTACCTGGAACCTCAACGACCCATAGACAGGTAAAATATTTGGTTTTGGTTTTGAAATAGACAAATAATAAATTTTTTTTTATGATAAACAATTTGTCACACACATTTTCAGTATTAAATCCATGCAGTTCTGAATTTAATCTTTTTTCGATTAGAAATTAAAAATTAACATCATATCATAGTATGATATAAAAATAAGGAGATGTGGTATGACTGCCAATTAGACAACTATCCACCACACTTCAAATGACGACAGCTACCCACCAGAGTTCAAATAACAATTAACAAGTTCATTCTAGAAAATTTCAAAAACGTTTTATTTTCAGTACCTATAATGTTGGTTTATAAAAAATTCAAAAGCATTAAAATCATTTCAATCAGTTAATTAGTCTGAGAAAAAGATAATGCACACAACTAGAAAAAAGTTACAAGATTGGGGTTTTTCAACTCCACACTTAAATGGTTACTATCTTGGAAATCCCCTATTGGTCAAGTGGTTTCAGAGGACAATTTATCTTCTACAAGACACACCAAAAACTCAAACAAAGTCCCATTAACTGTTGAATAACTTTAATAATCAATAGTAAAAGTAAGCTTGTCAGTTTTGTCAAATTTGTATCAATTAAAGTCCCTAAGTTTGATTGGTACTGGTGCATTTGTCCAAAAATAACACACACACATGTAGCTTGGTACTCATATGTAATTTGCAATCATTTGAGTCTCAAAATGCAGTAAAACACATTTTTAACTTATTATGAAAAAGATCTGAGTAAGGATTCAACTTACACAGGTCGTCTATGGGAATGTACAAAAGGTTTTTTTATTGTATATTTTCCTATCAAGATCAAATAAATTATATTTTTTATTATCCCTCATGCAACCTTTATAATTGTTCTACTTTTATGGAAGAGCAGGGTAAAATTTTCAAAAAGGCCCGTCGCCAAATCATCATCTTTTTCAAAAGTTTTCTGCATTGTTTTTCATATTAGATATTTCTGGTCAAGTGTTCATACAGCTATTGCTTTCTGATTTATGGATTTTAGTGTTTATATATATGGAGATAAAATTAGAAGAGACCTTGGATGCACCAAATTTACAAAGTATTATTTTCATTTAATGCTATCAATGCATCATAATTAAACTAAAGATATATTTAATATAATTTTTTTAAATAAGAGTGCACATGCTTAAATGTCTCGCCTGCTTTACTGATCATGATTGATTATATGTTGACAGTCTTTAAGATAAAAAGTTTACTACAAGTATCGCATAAACTTAATATTATCAATAATCCATGTAAATAAGGTCAAGGTCAAATGAACCCTGCCAGAAAACATGTTCACACCTTACAATCATTCCATGCACCAGATATAGTTTACCTGCTGCTTACCTGTAAAGTGTTCATGAAACACCCTTATATCCATGAAAACTTAACATCGACCAATCAATCATGTAAATGAGGTCAAGGTAAGACAACCTTAACAGACAAGCATGTACACCATACAATCTTTCAATTCACCAAATATATAACACTGACTTACTGGGTTAATAGTGTTCGAGAAACAGACTTATCCAGGAAAACTGAACATTGACTAATGAACCATGAAATTAATGTCAAGCAAGCTCAGGTGATACCTGCTAAACAGACATGCACACTTTACAATATTTCAATACGCCAAGGGTAGTTGACATATTGCTTATAGTATCAGACATAACCATGAAAACCTAACATTGACAAATCAACCATGAAAATTAGATTAAGGTCAGATGAGACCTGTCAGAGAGACATATTCACCTTAGAATTATACAACAAACCAAATATAGTTGACCTGTTACTTATAGTATCTAAGAAACAGACCAAAACACAAAAACTTAACCAGTGAACCATGAAAATGAGGTTCAGGTCAGATGATACCTGCCAGACAGACATGTTTACTTTACAATCAGTCCATAAACCAAATATACTTGACCTTTCACTTAAAGTATCTGAGAAACAGACCAGAAACACAACAAGAGTGCACACGCTGAAATGTCCCGCCTTCTTTACTAATCATTGATATTATGTTGATAGTCCTAAATATAAAGCTTTACTACAACTATCACATACACTTGACATGATCCAAGAAAATGAGGTCAAGGTCATATAAACCAAATGAGAAATACATGTACACCTTACAATTATTCAATACACTAAATATAGTTGACCTATTGCTTATAGTTTCTAAGAAACAGACTTAACCAAGAAAACTAAACATTGACCAATGAATCGTGAAAATGAGGTCAAGGTCAGATGAACCATGCCAGGCAGACATGAACAGCTTACAATCCTTCCATACAACAAATATAGCTGACCAGTATTGCTTATAGTTTAAGAAAAACAGACTGAAACACATAAACTTAACACTGAGCAATGAACCGTGAAAATGAGGTCAAGGTCAAATAAAACCTGCGAGACTGACATGTACATCTTAGAATATTTCCATACACCAAATATAGTTGACTTATTGCATATAGTATAAGAAAAAAGACCAAAACTCAAAAACTTAACTTTGACCACTGAACCATGAAAATGAGGTCAAAGTCAAATGACACCTGCCAGTTGGACATGTACACCTTAAAATCATTCCATACACCAAATATAGAAGAGCTATTGCATAAAGTATAGGAAAAACGGACCAAAACACAAAAACTAAACTATAACCACTGAACCATGAAAATGAGGTCAAGGTCAGATGACACCTGCCAGCTAGACACGTACACCTTACAATTGTTCCATACACCAAATATAGTAGACCTATTGCATACAGTATAAGAAAAACATACCAAAACACAAAAACTTAACTATAACCACTGAACCATGAAAATGAGGTCAAGGTCAGATGACACCTGCCAGCTGGACATGTACACCTTACAGTCCTTCCATACACTGAATATACTAGACCTATTGCTTATAGTATCTGAGATATGGACTTGACCACCAAAACTTAACCTTGTTCACTGATCCATGAAATGAGGTCGAGGTCAAGTGAAAACTGTCTGACAGGCATGAGGACCTTGCAAGGTACGCACATACCAAATATAGTTATCCTATTACTTATAATAAGAGAGAATTTAACATTACAAAAAATCTTAACTTTTTTTTCAAGTAGTCACTGAACCATGAAAATGAGGTCAAGGACATTGGACATGTGACTGACGGAAACTTCATAACATGAGGCATCCATATACAAAGTATGAAGCATCCAGGTCTTCCACCTTCTAAAATATAAAGCTTTTAAGAAGTTAGCTAATGCCGCCGCCGGATCACTATCCCTATGTCGAGCTTTCTGCGACAAAAGTCGCAGGCTCGACAAAAATCATAGTATTATATACCGTAACAAAAAATACAGACCGATGAAACTGATTAATAGAGATCAACCATCAGTCTACAGACAAGGTCGTTGCATTATACAACCCACTATGTGAATGGGGTGGAATACACTAAGCGAGTGGGTGTATAATATAGACACTATGCAGTATATATAATTCATACTTTCTGAATTTTTAATTAAATTTCAATTACACAAACATACAAGATTGATTTCTTTTTTTCCAGGCATGGATCCGAAACAACTGCGAGCACTAAACCAATGTCATCGAGATATACTGAGAGATCTAGACATAGACAAACAATTCCTTCTTAGTTTGTACATAGACAACCTCATAACTGAAGCTCAAAGTAAAGATATAGAGGTTAGACATTTAAAATTCAACTCTTTAAATCTTTCAGTTTCTTTTTCAATAATTACAACAATTCAGGTACGTAGATGTGCATGCCCCACAAGATTACTGAGGGCTTAATGCAGGAATACAGTTAGTGTATTTTGGGGGTTAGACAATATTTTTTTATACCCCAAAACCAATAATTTTAATTTCCAATTGTAACAGAATTGTATTAACTTTCTAACCTGTTACCCTTTTAAAAAAAAGTAACATCACATAGTATCCAACCCTTCCTTTTCCTGGAATAGCTCTTATTGCTGTTGTTCTTTTGACGGTTGTAGTAAAGTGAAAAAGTTAAAGCTGACATTTTAAGACATGTTTAAATATTTATATATGTTGCTTCAAAAATGTCATCTTATGAAATACTAAAACTGACAATGGTCGTTAAAAATTCTCTTATGAAAATTAACTTCCGAGTTAAATTATTACATTTTCATAATAGATTAACCTGGACTTTAATCATGTAAAGTATTGATTTTGATGAATGAGACTTATTTCTTATTCTGATCAAGATATTTTGTAGTCTGAATTGATTTTTTTTCAAAGTTATACATGGTTCATTTTTAAAATTACATTCTCATACAATTCGTTCTAGTTTAAGACCCAAGCATATTCATCCATTTTTTCAAGTTTGCAGTAATTTTGTTTTGTAATCTTTGTCACATAATTTTTTTCACCTAATACTCTCTGATCTTTTCATGTGCATATTCTGGAAGAAAAAATTATTATTATGAGTAAAAAAATAATGTAACGGTTTCAGCAGAACCCGGCACTGTCTTACCTGGGTTTGCTGTTGTCAGCGTAAAAGTGTAATATAAAAATATGAAGATGTGGTATGATTCCAATATTATTAATGAGACAACTCTCCACCAGAGACCAATTGACATAATGTTGACTGCCAAAAACTAAGTCCATTAGGGAAAGGAAATTACGAGAAAAAAAGTATTAAAAATCCAAACAATTTTCTTCAGATGCTATTTCTTGATCATGAAGAAGCTTCTGTCCATAGTTTTTTGTCATAGACCTGTTTGGTTGGGTTGTTGTCTCTTTGATGCATTCCCCGTTTCCAATCTCAATTTTATTCATAACATTCCAAGAGGGTTTAACCAAACTATTGATGTAAAAATAAATTTGAGTCTAGACTGTGTTTAAATGTTAACTGCAATTTTATATCTTATTCCAAGCTTTTGAAATACAAAATATTCAAATAAAATTTCACACCAATCTGTTACCTAAAAGGAAAATTATTGAAAAAAAAAGTCCAAAAATTTGATGAAATATAGAAATTGACCTGCTAATATTCTGTTCAGTACATTTGTATTTTCTATTCATGATTGACATAATAACTTATAAACAGATTTATTATTATTGCTTATGTTACATCGCCCTTTTAATTATCCTTGTGAAAAAATGACATGCAATAATTTGCAAGTTATAATTTAAACTATTGACAATACAAAATTAGATTTAAACCTTTTTATTTTATTTAAAAAGATCTGTCTTATCTTTTCCTATAATATCAATCTATGTTTGCTTTCACGTCAAACGGAAGTGTTGAGTATTGAATTTCAAGTGACAAGGTAAAAGATTTGTTTCGTTTGACGAGTCACATATATATATGTATATTCTTATTATGTATATAGAAGATCAGATTTATTTACACAAGGCTAACGATCCTCAGAACCTCTATGTAATCAAGATATATCAGGATGAAAAGAAAATCTTTTTATTGATAAATTTCCAGCATTTACGTATGAAGTGGTCTACTTAAATGGTAAAAATTAATCGTAGACAGTGGGACTTTTATTGATTATCTGTCATTAGTAAACCACAGAACTGGACCAAAATTATGACAAAATTAGGCCAGAAAGTAAAAAAGACTAGTTATTGAAAGTCAAGGCTAACCATTTACGTAGCATATCCTCAAATTGTCATTTTAAAACATTTTTGAAAACATAGACGTTCAAGTATCTGAACCATTATAAATGGTGGTCAAATATATTAAAGTTAGAACAAATAAATCCAACTACAAGTTATAAGCTTTATAATAAGAAAAACCATTAAAAAAAAACATAAAACTACTCATTCCCAAAGGTTAATTTACTGAATTATCCTGAAGTCATAACAACTGATTTGCATAGAACATTAATATGAATATAAGAAGATGTCTTTTTTTATTTGTATCTTTTAATAGCTGTTTTAATAATGTTTTTGTTATAGTCAAGAGAATTTTTTTGTAATTCATAAACAGAGCATTTTTCTTTTATTCATATTTTGAGCATTTTTCTTTTATTCATATTTTGAGCATTTCTTTTTATTCATAGTCACAGTATTTTTTTTATTATTAATATTCAGAGCATTTCTTTCTCTTCATAGTTACATCATTTTTTTAATTATTCATAGTTACAGCATTTTTTTAATTATTCATATTCAGAGCATTTCTTTTTATTCATAGTCAGAGCATTTTTTTATTCTTATTTAAGACTTATCTTTTTATTCATAGTCAGAGCATTTTTATTTGTCTATTTTCCAAGCTTCCAATCACTAAGCAACATTTTGAATAATGTTTTTTTTTAAATCTTTTAAAATGATTGATTTTACTGCTTATCTTACTTCTTTTGATCTTCAATTATTTTACTCACAAAAGTTTTCCAACATGCCAACTATTCTATGCAGATATTAACAACAGAGAATTTGAAAGACATAGACACCCATAATATGACCAACAATTGAGGATTAAAATTTACTTATTGGATTCAAAAGACTATTCTAAATATAGCTTACTATAAACTAAGAAATTATTGCCTGCATTTATTATAGTGATTTCTCCATGACAGACCAAAATGCGAGAATAATTATTGCGATTACTGAAAAAGCTGCATACAAATATATGTGACAGATTTTTCAGAATGTGAGTTCTTATTGTTGCCGTACTCACCCAGTCGCATTATTCGCTATAATAAAAACATTGCAATATTTTCTAAATATAGCTTATTTCAATTATGTTTTCTGATAGGAAACACACTGTGTTTTTCACATACAAAAAATCAACAAAATTTCTGTTATAATGCAATAACATACAGAGAATACATAAATTTGCAATGCATGGATTACAAAGCAGCTCTTTTCACAAATAATTTTCAATCAAAATTTTATCATTGTGTCAAAATCATTATGACAAGTACTTTTTTTTATAGAATCAAGTTTTTGCTATAATGTCAATTTTTTTTTTACAGCATGAAACATCCAGAAGAGCTAAAGCTTCCAAACTTATGGAGGTATTACCACGGAGAGGGCCATCCATATTTCCTCAGTTCGTAAACAAATTACGGCGAGATTATTCTTGGATTGCAGGCAAACTAGATACAGAATTTGAAAAGGCACAAAAAGAAATGCCCAAGGACATCAATTCAAAATTAATAGATGTTATAAACAATCAGTTATGTCCAATGGTTTACGGGGTTGATGATCAAAACAGTTTGTTGCCATCGGAAACACATCCTGGACATTTAGTTAATCAACTATCAGACACTGTACATACACTTCAATACAGGAGTTACCGAGCTCTTGGGATATCGACACGTGACCCAGCAACTACATATATGTCACTTCCAAGACTTATAGATCGTAAAGTTCATAGTTTACAAAACAGTTTTAACGAAATTAAATCGTCACTTTCTGAGGAGAAGAAAAAGAACAAAACAAATATACCTGTAGACAAAAAATCTACCAAAGAGGCCACTAAAATGAAAAAAGAACTTGAAAAACAAAAGGAGGCTAACAAAAAACTTGAATCTTCGTTGAAAGGAAAAAATAAAAAGATACAGTCTCTATCTTGTGAGAACTTAACTTTACAAACACAAAATCGACAGCTAAGGGACCGTGTTGAAGAACTGGAAAAAGAGGCACTAGTGTATCACCGAGGGGCAATGATCACTGAATGGAGGATGTAGAGGGTACCAGATTTAGTATTATAAAATAAACAAGCTATTTGGAAGGAATTTGAATGAAGTTTGTCTGATTTAGACTCAAGAAAGTCAGCATTCTATTTTTCATTTGAGTTGGGAGTTTATCCAGAACTATTATACATTGTTTGATCTCATGTTTTGTTTAAATACTGCCTCAATGTCCAAATATGAAAATCAAAATTCATAACAATACATTATATATTGTAATCAGTGCTTATTCTCTATGAGAATGTTAATTCAATACAAAGAAAAACATTTCATTTATAGCTAAACTTACCAATTTACATGTATAATTTTTGCTAAAGATATTATGAAGTCAATACATACATACCTTCACACATTTTAATATATAATCATTACTGAATATTTTTTTTCATATTTTCAACATAAATCATTGCGACATGTGCCTTTTTTATTCAAGCTTGGTGCAAACTTTTACAACTATCAAATCAATCTTGTTTTCTAAGACTTAGAGATAAAGATATTTATTTATGTTGTGTGCTTCTTTATTTATAACAGAGCTTTCTGATTATGTACACTACTGCAGCTGTGCCAAATAAATTATAAAATGTTTGTTTATACAGAAGTTGACTGTGTTCTTTTAATACTGTTATGCATTATCATTTTTATGGGGTACATGTACTAATTTTGGTTGATTTCCTTGGTCACATTATACAGGAACCACCAACTGAAGTGTTTAGCAAAGTACAAATGTCTTATAGCCTTTTATGCAGAATAATTCAAAACCACGAAAGCAAGTATCCCAGAAAATAAAATTTTTCCTCGGTCCACAAAATTGGTACCCATTAATATAGATTAATCCACGGTATATAGTTATACTTAATGCCTTCTGGACTCCCATATATTATCCCCTCAAACCAAAAGTCCAATTTTCCTGACTATTTCGTACCATTATTGAAAATGATACAAAATGCTTGAAACCCATTGTTTTACCCTGTTGGTCCAAATAAAAAAATTTCAGCCACAACTTTTTCAGAAACTTAAATTTTGATAGCCCAAATTGAATTTTTACAAGCCCAAACAGGTAAGCCCCAAAAGGATTTTACTACTCCAAACAGAAAGGCCCAAAAAGGATTTTACTTCTCCAAACAGAAAAGCCCAAATATAATTTCAAGTCCAAACAGAAAAGTTTATATAATAGAATTTCACAGGCCAAAACACATAAGTACAATGATTTATTATTCAAATTTAATAAAACTCATAAACTTCTTTCAATCTTAATTTTTTGTAAATAAGCTCAACTCTGTAAATCATTTTAACCCCCACCCCCCAAAAAAAATACCAATGTATTTTCACCCACCCCCCACCCCAAAAAAAAAAAAAATTTTAAATTATTTTCCCCAAATTTTTTTTTTTAACTGCCAACAATACTGCATACCACTGGGAATTTAAAATATTATTGAGACAATGGTATTGATTGGAGGAAGTATGATCAAATGACTTGGCCCCCGATATTTCAATAATAAGATTGTTCATCAATCCTATCACAATAATGTTATAATTTACTGATAAATAAATAGGGTCTGTTTACTTTAGTGCAGAAATGTTATTTAAGACTAAAGGTGCTGTCATTTGCCATATTTGGTGATAATGATAAATAAATTATAAATACATAAAACAGATATCTAGATGGACCTATATAAGCCCGGCATTACCATATCCTATTCCCACATTTGTCACACAAAGATTATAAGTCATATTGAAAAATTTTAAAAATCCATGCAAAAAAAAAAGATAACAAAAACAGCATGCATTTACAGATGACTTATACTGTGGAAGCTGTACAAATCAAACTCTGAGCTGAGTCTCCAGATTTTGCTCAGTAGATTGGTCAAAATTGTTCTTTCTACATCCTAACAAAACTGTTCAGTTTACCATGCATGTTCCCAACAAGTGAAACTGTGAGCTACTGCTCACTGATGATACCCCTGCCCAAATACTTGACGGTAAACAGGAAGTTGTTGAGTGATGAATCTGAAAACGCATCACACTGTATAGCTGGCTTATATAAACCCTGAAACCAAATTTCAGAAATCCTTGGGAGTGCAGTTCCTGAGAAAGATGCGACGAAAAATATTCATTGGACGGACGGACGGACGGACGGACAGACGGATGGATGGATGGACGGACCAATGGATAGATTGATGGACGGACGAACAGACAGAGGTAAAACAGTATACCCCAACTTTTTTAAAGCGGGGGTATAATTCATTATTATTAATTGGTGTCAATTTTTCATGGATCAGACAATATCAAGTCAATCATTTAAAGTTTTCTTTCTGCTTTATCCGACAAATTATACAACTGGAGACTCTTAAATATTCAGTATGGCGAAGGTTTCTCTATCTGTTAATTGACCTTTTCCTGTTTTCTGATAATTTCTTTATTCATCCATACTTCTTTTTAGGCGGAATGGAGTAATAAGGTGTTGTGAAGATTTCAAAAATTAAAACATGCAGACTTACCATTCCTGGACAATCTGTCTTGACTTTCTGAGATTTTCTTGTAGTAGGTTGAAATAGTCTGAAATTTTTCCTCAGCAGATGACAGTTGTTTCAGATGCTGACTTGTTGATGAAGTTTGTAGCTGGAGTTTTCTCCCCTGTTCTTTTAATTTCTTCTCCAAATTGTAATTTGTTATCTATAGCATTACAGAAACAACACAAACATCAAAATATAATTTATTACAAAATACAGGGGGTTGGATTTTAATAAACTAAGTAAGCGTAAATCACATAATGGTGTAAAGATTTTGAAGAAATTCCAATAAAAAGCCTAAAGGTGAGTCGGGAAACCACAAAAACATTTCTTTGGCATAATCAAATTTCATGACAATTGATCCGACTTCATAGGAAAAATTTTCGATCCAACACCCAATTTTTTTCAGACTTATGTCAGTGTCCAATGGACCTTCAGAATGACTAGAACTGTCCAAGGTTGAGGGAAAGTTGAGCACTCACAAACATGCTTATCCCTGCACCATTCTGTTAAAATGTGCCTGCCCAAAGTTAGTAACCTGTAATTCAGTGGTTGTCATCATTTTCTTTTATTATTTGGTCATAAATCAAGCCATTGGTTTTCTTATTTGAATTGTTTCACATTTTGTCATGTCAGGGCATTTCATATCTGACTATACAGTATGGGTTTTGCTCATTGTTGAATGCCATATGGTGACATTAAATTGCTTACATCCACAATATTCAGACTATGGTGGATATATAGTTGTCTCATTGGTAATCATACCACAACTAAACTCTTGGATAAGTTATTCTAAAGACTTTTTATTATATTGACTTTCAATGTAAAGTAGAAATGTAGGGAACTGCATCTTTTGCTACACATTCTCATCTCGTTTTGATCCAATTTCATTAGTAACGCCTTAAAACACCTATAGTTGTATGATGTAAAAAGAGTAAAAATATGGGATATATTTCACATGTGAAACATTTGTTTTTTTATTTGACTGAGAAATTACCGTATTTCACTGCAACCATTGTAATAAATGATAATAATTCATGTAATTTGCACATCGTTGTTGCATTTTATATGTGGCAAATTTTTTTTGGTTCCAAACCTGTAAGCTTCTTATATCGTCTTTAAGTGACTTTGTCTCTTTCTGTCCACAATCTTTAAACACTTGGTTCTGTTTCTATAAATAGAAAGGGTGGTAGACAATATATATATAACAGGTAAAATGCGAATCAAGCTAATTTGGTGAATGCTTAATTTTTCGTGAATACTTTAATTCATGTTTATCTCCCGAGAGCCCACTTCCTGACGATTTAAATCATGATTCCATAACCTTGTTGATGTAATCTTTCATTAAAAGTTTGACATATTCACAACAGTTAACATATTATACTGTAAATTCAGAAATTGTGGAGTGCATTTATTATTGTGATTGCTGAACAATGGATACAAATGTGAGATATATTATTGCGATTCCAGGAAATTCTGCATTCCAATAATGCTATTAAGGTGGTACATAACACTACAGGGAGATAACTCTGTAAAAATCAGCTGAATGTTTTAATCACGTTCTATAGTTAAGGAAATATTAAGCTTCACAATGATCAAAATTAGTGTTTGTCAAACTGCTATATATCCAATGAAATTTTTCCGAAAAAGTGTGTGGTTCAAGTCTTTTGAAATTTTTATATTTTTGTCAAAGGGTCGAAGTAAATATTTTGTAAAAATTTTATGAAAATAAAACGCGCCAAATTAATTTTAGTCAAGGTGTTTGGTACCACCTTAAATTTAAATTCGGAGTATTTATTTTTAAGAAACCTATTCCGTTGCAATTTTTGCAATAACAATAACATTGCAAAACTCTGAATTTACAGTATTGTCTTCTAAAAATAGACTACCAGTTATTGGTGACCTTGATCTTTGAGCCCAAAATCAATTGGGACCTTCTCCATTCCAAGAGGCATTAACAAACTTAAAGTTTGGTTAAAGTTGAACAACTAGTTAAAACTTAACATTCAGAAACTTGAAAATTTCGCCCAATTTTATTCCATCAATTTCAGCTTTGACATTGACATTGACTGTTACCCATAAAATCTGTTGGTGTCTTCCTCACACCATGTGGGACATTACCAAACCAAGTTTGGTAAAAGTTGGCCAATGGTTCAAAAGATAACATCTGGAAACCAAAATTTCAGTCCATAAATAGCTGGTGACCTTGACCTTTGATCTATTGACCCCAAAATCTAAGGGATCTTCTTCTTTCCATGGGTCTTTATCAAGCTGTTTGGTAAAGAATTTTTTTATGATTCCAAAGATTATATCAGAAAACCAAAATGTCAAGGTCAGAGGCTCAGAAAGTATTTATCATATGGGCTGCGTCGAATAGAAATCGACCTTATGCAAGTGAATATCAATACAACTGTTAACCTATTTCTGGTTGAAGGAATCTCTATGGAAAGTTTTTAACTGTTTGAAAATTGAGTTGTTATAAGAAAATCTACAAAACATACCAAATTCATCTTTTATTTCGTATTTGAATATTCCAAAATCAATCAAAGTCTTATATATGTACATGTATTGTGTGCACTTGCATAAGGTCGATTTCTATCAGACGCAGCTCATATTATAAGACAAGATTGACATCAAACTCTAATAATAAAATTATTAACTATGTAGATAAGTCTTGTAAAAGAATAAAAATGATACATTAACAAGAATGTGTCCATAGTACATGGATGCCCCACTCGCACTATCATTTTCTATGTTCAGTGGACCGTGAAATTGGGGTCAAAACACTAATTTGGCATTAAAATTAGAAAGATCATATCATAGGGAACATGTGTACTAAGTTTCAAGTTGATTGGACTTCAACTTCATCAAAAACTACCTTGACCAAAAACTTTAACCAAAAAATTAATAATATTAGAAAATTCCTGTAATCAGCTTTTTTCCATGGTAAAATACAAAACAGGTGCTAGTATTTCATGCATATTCAGAACAAGAATAAATAACAACAAGAAATGATTGTAACAGGATGCTGTTACGAAGTCTCCCAAACGAAGCTCCCATAATTCGTAATTCCCAGGGTCGCCTGACATTGGGCAACATCCAGTGAAAATTGGTTTGGTCCAGTAAAGTTATATGCATTAGTGATGCCTGGGGACTAACCTTGCATATCATTCAAATCATCTTGGCATGACAAACCAGAATATATATGGTTTAGGGGTGGGGATCTCGACCATTTACAAAATACTAGAACATTGGGGGTGGGGAGGAACCCCTGGGGACTGACCCTATACGTCATTCAAATGTTCATTACATGACGAACAGGAATATATATGGTTTAGGGGTGGGGATCTCAACCATTTACAAGATATTAGAACATTGGGGGTGGGGGGAACCCCTGGGGACTGACCGTATACGTCATTCAAATGTTTGAGACATGACAAATAGGAATATATATGGTTTAGGGGTGGGGATCTCAACCATTTACAAGATATTAGAACTTTCTTAAATGGCAGGGGGTGGGGGTGACCCCTGGGGACTAACCCTGTATTTCATTTGATGTGCTTTATCATGATAAACCAGAATATATGTGGTTTAGGGGTGGGGATCTCGACCATTTACAAGATATTAGAACTTTCTCAAATGGCAGGGGGTCGGGATGACCCCTGGGGACTAACCCTGTATATCATTCAAACCATCTTAGCATGACAAACCAGAATATATATGGTTTAGGGGTGGGGATCTTGACCACTTACAAGATATTAGAACTTTCTTAAATGGCAGGGGGTGGGGGTGACCCCTGGGGACTAACCCTGTATTTCATTTGATGTGCTTTATCATGATAAACCAGAATATATGTGGTTTAGTGGTGGGGATCTCGACCATTTACAAGATATTAGAACTTTCTTAAATGGCAGGTGGTGGGGGTGACCCCTGGGGACTAACCCTGTATTTCATTTGATGTGCTTTATCATGACAAACCAGAATATATATGGTTTAGGGGTGGAGATCTCGACCATTTACAAGATATTAGAACTTTCTCAAATGGCAGGGGGTCGGGATGACCCCTGGGGACTAACCCTGTATATCATTTAAACCATCTTAGCATGACAAACCAGAATATATATGGTTTAGGGGTGGGGATCTTGACCACTTAGAAGATATTAGAACTTTCTTAAATGGCAGGGGGTGGGGGTGACCCCTGGGGACTAACCCTGTATTACATTTGATGTGCTTTATCATGACAAACCAGAATGTATATGGTTTAGGGGTGGGGATCTCGACCATTTACAAGATATTAGAACTTTCTCAAATGGCAGGGGGTCGGGATGACCCCTGGGGACTAACCCTGTATATCATTCAAACCATCTTAGCACAACAAACCAAAATATATATGGTTTAGGGGTGGGGATCTTGACCACTTACAAGGTATTAGAACTTTCTTAAATGGCAGGGGGTGGGGTGGCCCCTGGGGACTAACCAAGGGTCCGGAAACGGTCATATTTGCCAGTCATGTCCTAAGATGAAACTATTTTTTCCTAAACGAGTAATTGGGATTTAGGACAAATTTTATTTTTTTACAGAAGTATTTTCGGTCATTTCATTGACTCAATGTTTGAAATCGGATTTCTGAATCGCCATTTTGCACTTGTTTTTGTTTATAATCCCTTTCCTGTAATAAAACTGCCACTACAGTAGTTTGATAATCCTGAGGGCCCTCCTAATATTTATCTCAATGCCTCCGGGAAACATTGGCTAATGATCGCTAATCACTTTTTACCTGTGGTTTTAATTCACACCTGACAGTGATCACAAGCTCAGAATAATATCTTTAAAACATTAGTTCCCTGATAAGTGTAATCATTATTTATTTACTTTTCATCAAAGACAGTCATCAATTCTGATTTAAAAATTAAATCTAAATTTACGTAGAAAAAAGTATTTTTTCCTTAGTAACACATGTGCTTTATTTACTATGAATAGAATAGAATAGAATATTTTATTTCCTAAATTACAGGGCCCATAAAGGGCATAAAATCAGATACAATTGATTTACATAATTGGTAACAACAACAATAATAGTCACTTGAAAATATATATTAAGTATATTAGCATTGGTCAGAATCAGAGCCAAAAACCACATATATATTGTGAATAAAAGAATAAAATTACATTATATGCATTCATTCTATGTAATACGCATGCGTGAAATTGTCTTCAGCAAATTTAATATTTAAATCGTAAAATGCAAATTGATTTCATGCTAAATTAAACGAGTGCAACTATTATCTGTTATATTCAAACACTTTTAATAAAATAAAAAAGCCATAAAAAGCCGGTGATTTCCTGTCAATTTGATAAACAAAACAAATCCCGGAAATAAATCCGGAATTATTCGTACTTTAAAATATCGCAAACTTCCGGTTTTAACTTTTGTCAAATCGAAAGAAACGTAAGCAATGTCTGAGAAATTAACCATTTTGAGTCATTAAAATCATTTCAATTTTAGACTGTTGCCTTCCCTAAACTGTCCTTCATAGTAATGGTAAGACATTTACTTACAATACAAGTTCGTCATGTTCGTTGATGCTATGAATATAGTCAAGTTGATATCGACAATTTGAAAAGGGGCACCAACTTTTCAAACATCTCAAAATGACCAAAATTGTCTGGAAAATTCCCGGATCCTTGGGACTAACCCTGTATTTCATTTAATGGACTTTATCATTTAGAACATTTTCAATCAAAAAGATTGTGTCTATCACAAACGGTTTTCAATTTATAATCATTTGAAAATTTTAAAAAATAAAATCCCATAGGGTTCTATAGTAAAACCCTCTTTTCTTTTTGCTCCTCAAAGTACCCCTTTATAAACCCCATTGCACAAACAAAACCCTGATTGCACCACTAGACATGTTAGTCTAACATATTGTGAAACCCTAAGTTAATCTGACAAGCGGTTTTGGAGAACGGGTGCGGACAAGTTCAAATTTAAAAGAAGAAGAAGAAGAAGAAGAAGAAGAAGAAGAAGAACTGAGCAAAAACAATAAGTCTTCCCAAACTTCGTTTGGGAGACTTAATTAAAACAACAGGTAGGTTCAACCAGAATTGAGGACAAACATTTGGACTGCCACTGGAAAAGAGGGCACATGTATGTTTGATATGACTAGAAATTTTTCCTTGAAATAGGTACAATACAGACCCCTGGAAGAGTTTTTAGCAAGGAAATGTCTTCTTAATTGTTAGACCATATTGCTTTAAATTATATAACAACAATGTGAAATATCTTTTAAAGCAGAATTAAATTATGTTTTTTAATACAATTTTATCATAATTATATTACATTCAAACTGTTATAATCTAAATAATGACTAAAACTTACATCTTTATGAATAAAAAGAGATATGAGGTACACCTCAATGAGGAAGCAACCCCAACACCAAACATAACCATAAAACACCAAGAGGGTAACAGTCTTCAATAATAAACAGGGGTCTATACAACATGTTTGCATTTACCACAGCAAAAATCAGACCCATGCAAATATTATCTTTATATAACAGTTCTAATCAACAAATTACAGAGGAAAACTTACAACTTCTGCTTGTAAAACTTTAATTTTGTCTTCAAACTGACGTTTTATTTCAGCAACTTTCTTATCATGCTCTTCTGACAAGGAAGCAAAATGACATTTTTCTCCATCCTGTAACAAAGAAACATTAATTTCAGGGGGACTGGGATTAAGGGAGACGACTCTTTTACTAAATCTTGTGTTTGTACAACAGTAATTTTCATAAATGCTTAAAATCATTCATGTGAAAATGAATTGAAATAATCTGTGTTACTTAGCAGTTTAAAATATATTATGTACCAGTGATTTATAGTTACATCCCTTACCAGTGATTATATAGAGTTATGTCCCTTACAAATGATTTTTAATTGGTATGTTCCTTATCCTAGGTCTCATTGTTTAATTTAGTATAACGTAAATAGCAAGACGCAAATACCACTTTTTATAAAATTCTTTGAAGTTGCTTTCAATAACTGTAAGCATTCTTTGATACTAAATAATATTTTGTTTGTACTTGTGCTCAAGATTGTTATCTGTTATCCTATAGTTATTTTTATTGTATGTTCTGTTACTTGCCTTTTTTAAGTTCACTAAATGAGATAAAAGGCATACATGTGACAGAGTTGTCAAGTCACAACTGGAGATTTTTAAAAATTTTCAGCTGGAGTTTGGGCCTCATAACTGGAGATTTTTTATCGTCATATTAATAGCTGTTTTCAGTGTTCATTTTTATGATAAAGCTACATATTTCCCCTTTTTTTTAAGATAATAGTTTAACTATTAATGTATTCTCTCTGTATTGTTACCCTGTGAAATATTTGTCAACACTCAGCTATACTATCTGTATGTGATTTTCATCATCTCATATTTATTTATGTGTTTTAAAGTGTTATTCCATTTTTCTAGATAATTCTGATTTAGCCAGATTTAGCATAAACACTCTCAAGATTTTAAATAAGGTCAAAACATATTTTATAAATTTCAATTTAAGCATTGAAAAGAAGTATAGATCTCTCAAATAATTTTCAGAATAATATTTTCTTATTTGTCCGATTAAGACATTTGAAATCATTAAATTACCATCCTTATATGATTCTTTGTTCAATTTGTACTTCATTCATATTCTTTTATCAATTTACATTATTTTAAGGAGGATAACTTAAAACATGAAAAAACAAGGGAAGTAACCCAAAATTTCTTTGAACACACAGCTTAATTATTACATAAGGGCAGTTAGCCTGAGGTAAAAATCGTTGATTAATGGTATGTTTGACACCCAAGCTATATAATTACACAAGTTCTTTCATTTACAGGTAAAAATTACCTTCATCAGTGACACACAAACGTAATTAATGTTGACATCGATGGTAATAAAAAATAGAGACTGACAAATTTTTGGGGGTTGAAATTTTGAAAAAACCGGAAGATTTGAATTATCAACGGGAGGGACGGAAGAGGGCTTAAAAATCGGGAGATTTTAACTCCCACCAGAAGAATCACATGTGTGAAAAGGGAGTTTGGTTGAAATCTCAAGACCTGTTTTGACTTTGCCACAATTGATGTGCTTTTTTTAATGTTTGAATCCTTGTTCATCCATTTTGCCAGCGAATCAAAAAAAGATGAGTCAAGTGACCTTCATTTTCGCCTAAAGAAATGTATACTTCAATGAACATTTAAATTTGCAGTTTACCTTTGTCCATAAAATCAACAAAAACTGGTATCCTACAAAAAACAATGCATCCACAGTAGAACTGGGTCAATATCCCTAATGCACCTCAAAGTGAGGAGTGTTAACAAAAAATCTCTGTGCAGTGATATTGGATATGTTTCAATTTTTAACAAGTGAATGAGCTTAACCATTTGTGCATATTTAGAGACCGGAGGACCACAGAATAAACATGTAAAAACTATGAAGTTATTAAATGTATGCAAAGAACAAGAAATGATTGTAACAGGATGCTGTTACGAAGTCTCCCAAACGAGATATTAGAACTTTCTTAAATGGCAGGGGGTGGGGGTGACCCCTGGGGACTAACCCTGTATTTCATTTGATGTGCTTTATCATGACAAACCAGAATATATATGGTTTAGGGGTGGGGATCTCAACCATTTACAAGATATTAGAACTTTCTCAAATGGCAGGGGGTCGGGATGACCCCTGGGGACTAACCCTGTATATCATTCAAACCATCTTAGCATGACAAACCAAAATATATATGGTTTAGGGGTGGGGATCTTGACCACTTACAAGATATTGGAACTTTCTTAAATGGCAGGGGGTGGGGGTGACCCCTGGGGACTAACCCTGTATTTCATTTGATGTGCTTTATCATGACAAACCAGAATGTATATGGTTTAGGGGTGGGGATCTCGACCATTTACAAGATATTAGAACTTTCTCAAATGGCAGGGGGTCGGGATGACCCCTGGGGACTAACCCTGTATATCATTCAAACCATCTTAGCATGACAAACCAGAATATATATGGTTTAGGGGTGGGGATCTTGACCACTTAGAAGATATTAGAACTTTCTTAAATGGCAGGGGGTGGGGGTGACCCCTGGGGACTAACCCTGTATTACATTTGATGTGCTTTATCATGACAAACCAGAATATATATGGTTTAGGGGTGGGGATCTCGACCATTTACAAGATATTAGAACTTTCTCAAATGGCAGGGGGTCGGGATGACCCCTGGGGACTAACCCTGTATATCATTCAAACCATCTTAGCATAACAAACCAAAATATATATGGTTTAGGGGTGGGAATCTTGACCACTTACAAGGTATTAGAACTTTCTTAAATTTCAGGGGGTGGGGGTGGCCCCTGGGGACTAACCCTGTATTTCATTTAATAGGCTTTATCATTTAGAACATTTTCAATTAAAAAGATTGTGTCTATCACAAACGGTTTTCAATTTATAATCATTTGAAAATTTAAAAAAATAAAATCCCATAGGGTTCTATAGTAAAACCCTCTTTTCTTTTTGCCCCTCAAAGTACCCCTTTATAAACCCCATTGCACAAACAAAACCCTGATTGCACCACTAGACATGTTAGTCTAACATATTGTGAAACCCTAAGTTAATCTGACAAGCGGTTTTGGAGAACGGGTGCGGACAAGTTCAAATTTAAAAGCGGCGGAAGAGGAAGAAGAAGAAGAAGAAGAAGAAGAAGAATTAAAAACCAATTGTTCAAAGAACAATTGAAGGTCTTTCCACATAAATTTTCTAAATTATTGATGAGAAGATAATTCTGGTTTAATCAAAGCTACTATTGGCGTCCAATCATAGGTTTCTTCATACTGATTCAATAAACATGGTTTCTATAGACTTTTGCCAAAAATAAGGGAGATAATTGTCAACATCCGGTTAAGAAAATGTCACTTCAGGTCTCATATGATAGCTTTATTTACACTGATTCCAAAAATATATGGTTTATATATACTTTTGCCTGTAAAAAGGGAGATAATTGGCTACTTCCGGTTTAGAAAATGTCACTTCCGGTCTCATATGATAGATTTATTTACACTGATTCGAAAAATATATGGTTTAAATATACTTTTGCCTGTAAAAAGGGAGATAATTGGCTACTTCCGGTTTAGAAAATGTCACTTCCGGTCTCATATGATAGATTTATTTACACTGATTCCAAAAATATATGGTTTATATATACTTTTGCCTGAAAAAAGGGAGATAATTGGCTACTTCCGGTTTAGAAAATGTCACTTCCGGTCTCATATGATAGATTTATTTACACTGATTCCAAAAATATATGGTTTATATATACTTTTGCCTGTAAAAAGGGAGATAATATGCTACTTCCGGTTTATAAAATATCACTTCCGGTCTCAAATGATAGATTAATGTATGACCATTCAAAAAATATATGGTTTCTATGTACTTCTACATGAAATAAGTGCAAAAATGACTACTTCCGGTTCACTCAAGGTCACATCCGGTTGACATTTTTCAAGGTCATATTTCACCCAACATTTTGCAAAAGATCTTATGGCTTTATCATGTACCAATATGAAGTAATAATCAATTTACCTTAAAATAAAACATTTCAGGGGCAATAACTCCAATAAGATGTCGCTGGATTGTCTCAGACCAAATTTATCATATCTTCATCACAATATAACAAACATTTTGCACTTGTTCTTTAATATATAACATTAAAAATATCGGAGAAAATGCAAAAACAAGCAAAAGACAAACTTCAGAACATGACCTTGACCTTTGACCTTGACCTCATTTTCGAAGTTGGGATCCAAGGACCTTAAATAAAAAGACTATAGGTTTATACGGCTTACAGTTTATGAGTAACAAAAACATAACGACAAATTTATTTGATAAAGGTAGACAACTATAAAATTTCATCGAATCGCTTCGATCCAAATTAGCCAAAAATTCCTGAGGATGTAACGAACAATTTGTAAAAAGAATTTTGTCGATATCTTTTTTTGTAACGAAGGAGATGCACACAGATGATAAACAGTGAATAGGGAGATAACTCTTACAAAGAAAATGGTTCGGCTTAGCAGGGTGAAATTTAAAAGCGCATAAACTATATGATACAATATGAGAAATATCTAAGCGACATATTGCAAAACAAACATTTATCGCAAGAACAAAATTTGGCGAAAGAAAAAAAAAAAAAAAAAAATAATAATAATAATCAGAACAAATACAATAGGTCTTTCCACAGAAAAGTGGAAAGACCTAATAATAATAAGAACTGAGCAAAAACAATAAGTCTTCCCAAACTTCGTTTGGGAGACTTAACTAAATAAATTTTCAAAGAACTTATAGTGTGAAAAAAGGGATTTTTTACCTCGAGAAGCTGCATTACAAAAGACTTTTCAGGGTGTGCTAAATTACGGGAAAATGAATCTCACTTTGTACCCCGAAAATTTAACCACATATGTGAAAATGTCTCAGCTTCGAAAAGAGTCATCATACATATCCAAGTTTCGATATGGGCAGAGAAATTGAGGAAAAGGCTACCATTACCGCCTACCTGAAATGAATTGCGCATCTGTACCCAACAGAAATAAACTAAAGGAGTAGGTTCTAGCATTATGTTTGTTATAACAATGAATATGTCAAGACTTGAATATCAAGTTTGACAAAGTCTGAGCTGTATGTTTCCGGCCTTATTGTGGTTTAAATCCAGAAGATTTTGTCAACTTTCACCAAAATCTCCATATTTCGCCTATTTGGGGTGTAAATTTCCA